GCCTCCCGTCCTCCTCCTCCTCCTTTACCTTCCTCCTCCTCCTCCTCCTCCTCCTCCTTCCTTCCTCCTCCTCCTCCTCCTCCTTTACTCCTCCTCCTCCTCCTCCTCCTCCTCCTCCTCCTCCTCCTCCTCCTCCTCTTCAATCTCATCCTCTTGCCTTCAATCTCTCCCTCTTCTGCTGCACCTACCTCCTCCTAACCTTGCTCCTTATGCTTCATCGCCCCCTTTACCTCCACCCCTTGACCTGATCGTCTTCCTTGCGCTCTTTCACCCTCCCCTTGCTCCCATCTACCAATGCCGTCTTGCTCTCGCTGGCTTCTACTGACTTTTCAACCCTCCTACTTGCAGTTCATCTGTGCAGGAGCAGGAGCGGGGATGGCTGCAGCCTTTGGGGCTCCGGTGGGGGGCGTCCTCTTCGTCTTGGAGGAAGCTGCTTCCCACTGGTCCCCCCAGCTCATATGGCGAGTCTTCGCAGCCGCGCTGGTCGCGACCTTCACCCTCGCCTTCGTCAAGGCAGGGGAGAACGGAGGAGATATCTCGCTTGCTGGCCTCCTTTCCTTCGGTACCGTCCAGTCCGTGGAGGACATGAAGCGGCAGCTGGTCAGCTCGGACGGCTCAGTCAAGGTGAGCGCGGTCGACGCTCCTGTCTACTGGTGGGAGATCGTCTTCTTCGCACTGGTGGGGGTAGGAGGAGGGATCCTCGGCGGGCTGTGGGACCTAGCATGGAACGCGATCGCGCCCTTCCGGCCCAAGGGTCGCGTCATGCGCGTGGTGGAGGTAGTCATGGTGTCGGTCTTCACGTCTGCGGTTGTCTTCTCGCAGGCCTACTCCTACCCGCAGTGCCGCAACAACGGGTCCTGGAGCTGCCGGGACAGCGAGAACTGGGGGGACTGGTGCGGGGGGCCCCAGGACAACTCGACCTGCTCCGGGGCCCGGGCCAAGTGCGTGAACGCGTCCGGATGGGTCTGCCAGGGAGGAGAGAACTCAGGGAAGGCCTGCAGAGGGAGGGGAGACTGCGAGTGGCGCGGGGGGGTGTGCATGCCGATGGAGACGGAAGAGATCTTCGGGGTGCGCCTCGGGTGCCCCGTCGGGCAGTACGACGAGCTGGCGACCATCTTCTTCGGGACGCGGGAGCAGTCGATCGTGCGTCTATTCACACAGGCATCTCCCCGCGAGCCCTTCAGCAACAGCTCCCTCACCATCGCCGGGCTGACCTACATGGTCCTCATGCTCTTCACTTACGGCTGCGCCATTCCCGCCGGACTCTTCATGCCCTCCGTCATGGTGGGCGCGTGCCTGGGGAGGCTAGTGGGGCAGCTAGTCAAGCAGTACGTCGAGAGCTCGGTCTTCAGCGGGGCGTACGCGCTGGCAGGAGCAGCGGCGATGCTGAGCGGGGTGCAGCGGGCGACGATCTCACTGGTCGTGATCATCATAGAGGGGACGGCCAACGTTCACTTCCTCCTCCCCATCGTCGTCACGACCTGCACGGCGAAGCTCGTCGGGAACCTCTTTGGGCACGAGGGAGTGTACGAGATCGGGCTGAGGAGGAAGAAGCTCCGGTTCCTCGAGCACGAGCCGCACTGGATGATGGACCTCTGCACTGCAGGAGACGTCATGTCGACCCCGGTCGTCTGCCTCCCGGTGGTGGCCAAGGTCGGAGAAATCATAGAGAAGCTAAAGGGTTGCGGGCACAACGGCTTCCCCGTGCTCTCCCTGACCGACGAGGGGGACGAGGGCGCAGGGCCGCGCCAGCAGCATGAGCGAAGTCCCGTCAACGACTGCAAGTTCGAGGGACTCATCCTCCGAGCTCAACTCCAGCACATGCTCGGAGCTAGGTGAATTCCCCCTCCCTTCCCCTCTAAACCCCCCCTCGCAGCGCCTACCTTCCACTGCTGCTCCTCTCCTCTCCTCTCCTCTCCTCTCCTCTCCTCTCCTCTCCTCTCCTCTCCTCTCCTCTCCTCTCCTCTCCTCTCCTCTCCCCTCCTCTCCTCTCCTCTCCTCTCCTCTCCTCACTCTCCGTTAGGTTCCTCGAGGACGGAGCTGATCCACAGGGCTTGTGGCATCGCATCACGTACGACAGTCTCGAGCATCTCTCGCTCGACGGCGATCCAGACATGTACGAGCTCATGGCATACAACAACCGACAAGGAGCCAGCGGACTGCAGGTCCTCCTCCTCCTCCTCCTCCTCCTCCTCCTCCGCCTGCCCTCCCTCTCCTTCCCTCCCTCATCTTTCCTCATCTACCTCTTGTTTCATTTTCTTGGTTCACCAAGTTTCAGGCATGGGAATTTCGAGATTTCTCTCCTGAAGATCGCGAGAGATACGTGAACCTTGGCGCGTATATGAATTGCTCCTGCTATACGGTCCTCTTTCCCTTCCCCCCTCACCACCACCATCTCCTCCTCCTCCTCCTGCTCCTCCTTCCACCACCTTATCCTCCTCCTCTTCCTCCTGCTCCTCCTGCTCCTCCTGCTCCTCCTGCTCCTCCTGCTCCTCCTCCTCATCCACCACCACCACCACCACCACCACCATTTCCTCAACCTCCTCCTCATCCTCCATCCACCACCTCATCATCCTCCACCACCACCACCACCATAACCTCATCCTCCCTTTCTCCTCCTCTCCTCCTTCTGTTCCTCCTCTCGGAATCATGATGGCAAGCAGGTACTGGAGAGCTGTCCTCTCTCCCGAGCATACAAGCTCTTTCGTAACATGGGCCTCCGCCATCTCCCCGTCGTTGACGTTCAGAATCGCGTGGTGGGCATGCTCGCTCGAGCCAACTTCTCAGAAGAGGTCAGTCTCTCCTCCGCGCCATCTCCCCTCCGTTGCTCCTTCCTCCTTATTTCTCTTTTCTCCTCCTCCTCCTCCTCCTCATCATCATCATCATCATCATCATTATCATCACCATCATCATCATCATCATCCTCTTTGTTGACCAACTTGCCCCCCCAGGTGATTCATCAGGCCATGACCGTATACTACCACGACGACGAGATTCACCAGCATGCAAGCGAGGAAAAGAACCCGCGGCTCAAGGGATACGACACGGTTACCTCCCTCTCTCCTCCTCCCCTCCCCCTTCCTACTCCCCTCCTCCTCCTCCTCCAGCTGACCATTTTCTGTTCTCAGGTCTCGCGGCAGCTCAACCGACACGCTCTCTACACGGAGGAAGGAGGATACATCGGAGGGCTTGTGACTACCTGGCAGACTCGTTTGGCCTTCCTGCTGCGAGGAGGGACGTGAGGGTAGAAGCAAAGTACATCATTCATTCATTCATTCCTCATCCTCCTCCTCCTCCACCTCCTCCTCCTGCCCCCTCTCCTCCATTAGCTACTTTCTTCGTGCTACTGCTCCTGCTGCTCTCCATTAAACTACATCTTACTCCCCGCCCTCTTCTTATCCTCGCTTCTTCTTCTTTGTGTTGGCCTGCGTGAAGCAATTCAGATTGAAGGAGCGGAAGGGGATGAGAGAGGGGCTGGCGAGATGGGAACAGGGATGGAAGACGGGGTGCAAGAGAATTGAGGAGGAGGAGGAGGAGAATGAAGAGCAGCAGAAGCAGAAGCAGCAGGGGGGGGAGGAGGAGGCGCTGCGGCCTGCAGGGGCAGGGGCAGCGGCAGCAGCAGAGGCAGCGGCAGCGGAAGCGGCAGCGGCAGCGGCAGCGGCAGCGGCAGCGGCAGCGGCAGCGGCAGCGGCAGCGGCAGCGGCAGCGGCAGCGGCAGCGGCAGCGGCAGCGGCAGCGGCAGCGGCAGCGGCAGCGGCAGCAGCAGCAGCAGCAGCAGGACCTCGCGCACAATTCTCTCGAGCTGGCGGAGGGTGGCGTTGTCGAGCTTGTCAATGTCAACTTCAAGCTCGTCGGGATCGTCGCCACTCTGACAAGAGGAGGAGAAGTCACGGAGAAGAGAGACAAAGTTTGTTGTTCACGAGCAGAGAGGATCGTATCATAGCAAGAAACATCTCCACCATACACGAGCACCAAAAGGTCTGATGTACTAGACAGCATCACGAGCAGCAAGACAGTCCTCAGGTGTTTCCATCTCTTCTCATTGCTCACCTGCATCAGGATTTTGGAGTTCTTCTCGTGGATGAAAGAAACAACCTGAACATCATCGTTATCATCTCCCTGATATAATTCAAATCTCAAACTCACCGATGCGAGGCGTTTTCCCGGCAGTTTGTTCATGCTCGCACTCAACTGCAAACCATTCAACTCCTCCTCTTCCTCCTCCTCCTGTCTTACCTCCCTCTTCTCCTCATACGTCATAGGCACGTTGTCAAGAGATGAATCTTCACTTCCAGCCTTACCTGCATGAAGGAGAGGAGGGAACGAAGTCGAGAGGTTCAGAAAGAAGTGATGATGATCAGGGAAGGATGCGATCGGACAAGAACGGGAGCAGAGGAAGTGGAGAGAGAGAGAGAGAGAGAGAGAGAGAGAGAGAGAGAGAGAGAGAGAGAGAGAGAGAGAGGAGAACATGCGAGCAACTAAGAAAGAACGGAGAGGAGTGCCTCTCACTCTTTGTGCTCTCAGACGCGGACCCAGCATTGTTGTAGGCGTCCATGATAATTCCCTCGTTCTGACTCCACTTCCCCTCGAACAGAACCTTGAGAGTCTTGGCCATGACGTGGACGTCGTGACCCTCAGGGTTGTAAGTCATCGCGTTCCTGAAGACTAGCAGGACGTCGTCCTTGAACTGCTGCGGGTTCGCCAGCACTCCCTTCTCAAGGTTTGATTTCACAGTACTGAAGACCATCGTCATCGTCATCGTCATCGTCATCCCAATCTCATCATCAATTTCTTCAACATCATCTCCATCGTGATCATCGCAATCTTTGTTGACATTTTCATCATTCTACTACATGAAAGAAGCATGCAGACAAGAGGGAAATGGTCTCAAAAGCTACAACACATCCCTGCTTCCAACGTGTAGTAGAGCACAACAGCCTTACCCGAGGTCCATCGGGCGTTTGATCACGATGTGATAGTCCGGAAGGCCCAATTTCTCA